AATAACACCGACGTCAAATGAATTTTTCCTCAAAGCTTGAACCCTTCAGATTAATCCAGACTTCGTAAGGTGGCGCTACGGTTCCAGTATCAGAGRAAAGCTCTCAACTCTAAGATTCGAAGAAGTGGAAGGTAACTTGGTTTTATACTCGAAATATCATACTTAATCTATTCTTTCGAGATCGGCCGAAATTTAAAATATTTTGTCAATTGAAGACGACTCGTAGCAGGTTATCGTAAAAAGATGATCGTAATGAAGAGCATCTGTAGCCAGCATTCATAGCGATCGACATGGTTTTGACGTTTGAATTCGAATACTTTCTGTTTCGTACTTTAGCCGTGTTTGTTTTGGGCATTAGCATCAATAGTGCTGCCTATCGTATTATCACAAAGGTCATAAGTCTTAATAAACTTGTCAAATCATTATTCAGAGTTTTTTTTTTTTTTTACAGGATACTCGATTTTATTTACTATATTTTTTGTTAATTCAGTATACTTAAAGCCGATTGTTTTTTATCTTCATTAGTATAAAAGTGATTCTTTTTTATCCAATTAGGCAACGAAACTCAAAACTACTGCTTATGTATCACCCTCCCCCTCTCGGGGTACACTCGGTTCATTTAGATACCAGTTTTCTAAAACGTCTGGTTTCCACGCTGTTATCAATGAATAACGAAACAGCTTTCCTACTTTTTTTCTTAGTAAAGAAAATAAGAAACAAGACGCAAAGCTAGGAAGCTAAAGACTATTATTCTGCCTGTACCATTAATTACAATTCAACTGTTATGCCTTCTTAACTTAAAATTGTTTTTAATGAAATTAAACTCTGAAAGCAAGCATTTTTGCCACTAATAACTTTTAGAATGGCTTCAATTAATCCCTGATATGCTCATGTTTCACAGCCAAATTACTAAATCGATGTTCAAAACCAGTTATCAGTTCTTATGCAAATGGCAAGTCCATAGGATCCGTCTTTGAACATGCATTTCGATCAATTCACGAGTTAATGTAATACGTTTTTGTCTCTAGGCTGCTTTCCATGACTTTCGCTAGAATACCAAGTTCACTCACTTTTCACCTGCTTCAATATTAGTTAACCTTTCCTTCGCTAAGATTTAGCTTCGCTGAAAATGACATTTTGAACATCATTTTCCTTTTGTGAACCAAGTGAATGTTTATCCGTGTTTGTGCTCCAAGATTCTAGTATCATTTTCTTTGCTTTTCATTATCGTTATTTACCATCTTTAACATGACGCATTGGAGTAGGCAATTCCAAACGCTATTCAAGATTCATTTCACACCAAATGTTGGTTAGTTTACGTTAAATTCTACAATTATATGAACTCTTCCRCGTTTCTTTTTCATTACCACTTCAAATGAACCTGTATTCCTTCCTGTTTCGTAAGAAATTGAATATAAATTGGATCTGATGGACCAAAACCTTGATTATTCGATTCRAAATTTAATAAAATGAATTAGTATTCATACTCAAATTCACTGTAAGATATTCGCTGAGATAAATTATGAAAAGCTGCAGCTGTAACTAAGCATATGATAAAGTCTTTCAAGTATTTTCCACGTATTGTATATCGTGGCTAACAAACTTGTAAGAGAGTCAGGTCTTTTGAATACAACTACAATTTAAATATTTCAAATCTTTTTTTCTTTAAAATTTTTATAATCTTTTCCTGGTGTTGATATTTGTCTCTGCTCTGACTCGCGTAACTTTTCTTCAAGACGTATTTTTTGTTCCTCTCTAATTCAAAAAGTATGTCGAGAATTTCAGGTCTTGTTGAGTAAGCTTAGGGAACAATGCTTGAAAAGATGTTTGTTTCCTGTTAGGCTTTTGAAACAAGAACTACAGAAGCTATTAGCATACGTAAAGAAGAATATATAACATAACTTTTCATTCAAATCTATTGAAAAGCTTTTCCTAGGTTTAGAAGTCTCGAGTTGTTTAAGAATATTCGAATACAGACGTCTAAAACAACCGCCATTTATGTGTTTTTTAAAGCACGAAAAGTAGTGCTGCTGTTTGCACGAAAAAGTCTGTTTGAATTCAAATAACTACTGTAATAATAGCGAAAAGAAACAATATACCTGCTGTGTCATGAAAATCTATTCAGGTTGAATTTCTTTTCAGTTCGGAATCCCCAAGTAGCTTACTTTGGCAAGCAACCAAAATTATTTCCCGCTTAAGATGAGGAAAACCAAAATAACCCCGTTTAGATATTTTCCCGCCTTCTTTTACATCAGTTAAGACTTTTCCACGTACTAAACCTATTTTACCAAAAAATAACAAAAAGGCGGCTTGAGATAAAGAAACTAAAATCTGACGTTGGAATATTTTCCTTCTTTTTTTTACATAATTAGAAACTTTTCTACAACTTTTCTAATCTTTTACATAACTTGCCTTAGAAAAGTAATAATAATAAAAATGCCGGCGTGAGACGAACCAAATTTTGAAATACTTTCCACCTCTTTGTAACTGCAGTGTAAACTTTTCTATTGACACAACTTGCTTTGCAGTTTACTTAGTTGATTACTATATCTATAGAGCACAGTCCACGCTTGTTTAGGTTTAGATTTAAAATAGAGCACTATAATGTTGACATTTTGTATCGTCTGTCGTCAGTATTAGCACTGATAATTGTTGCCTTATTTGAATTTTTAATCTTTTTTTTTTTTTCGCTACGAGTAATAATCATAATATCCCAAGATTATAGAAAACTGCCCAGCACGCATTTTGGTGACTGAGTTGCTGTGTATTTGCCTAACAATCGATAAAAATTATCACATAAATGTGGACTCTTAGTCATAGTTTTAATGCTTTTAATCAGTAACATTGAACTTAGTCTAGTTTTGCTTATAGTATCATTTTCAGAAGTTTATATTTCGTGTCGATGCTAACGTTTTATTAGAGTGGTCTAAGCTCAACTTAACAGGTCCATCCAAAATGTAATACATACATGTAAACTGTCGTATTTACATTTTGAACTAATTATAATGACAAAAGATGATAACATTAAACTCGTAAGTTAGGGTTTTATTTCCCTTCGCGAGAGGATGAAGTGATTGTCATCGTGCTCTTAAAATCCACTTCGGGCTACTACGCTCTAGTTATAGATATATAGTTAAATGGTTTACTGCCTTCGAGATRTTATTTGACAAAGGTGAACAACTTGTTATGTGTTATGATCTGTGTCCCAAAGGACTGTGCTCCGCCTCTGCTTCTCATTGACCAATAAGCGTTCGCATAAACTAATTAAATCTTACTGTTCTTTATCGCAGTTACTGTGTTGAAGTTTGTAGGCTATACGTATTTTAGTGCAGTATTCTGCGGGTGGTTAGTCTTGTATATACAAAATCGTTGCGGGAGACAAAACGTCTAAACTCTACGTTATTTGTTTGCTATTCAGATGACAACCCCTCACGAAGACAAGGCACTTTCAAGTCCTTCCCTAAACTCTGTTGACCACGTTTCGGTAAGTAGCGAAACACGAACCAATATTCTATCCTTCAGTTTTCTAGTTTAGCCCACTTCAGTTACCAAGAACTCATTTTATTGTGTATCTAACACCTATTTTTACTTAAGCAAAAAATTGAGGTGTTTTTAAATTGAACATTCGAGTTATTTACGACTTGGTTTTGGTTTTGATAATGTCGAATAAAAAGTATCGTCTTACCATAACTAAATATTAATAAACATCTCTATGATATAGCTTGAAGTCGGAACTAAATAGATATTTAAAGCCTAAACATGTGAGAGAAGGATAACATTGTGTCGTTCTTAAATAACTTTGGCGTGGTTTGTTTTCTTCCAGACACAGGGCGAACGCTGTGTTGGATGTGAAGCTCGGATCTTAGATCGGTACTTAGTGAAAGTTAGTGGCCGAGCATGGCATACCAAATGTTTACGATGCTGTGTATGCGGAGAGGAATTAGGAAGAGAAGCCACATGCTATACTAAAGATAACAAGATCTACTGTAAGGGGGACTATGCCAGGTAAATATACTGTACAGTATTTTGCTTGTCTAGGATTCAAACTGTTTGGGTACATTAAAAGGCCATTCTAAGACCATTTAAACTTCAACTCAAGTACCCACTAATTTATTTGCGGTTCACCACGAATTATCGTGCAAACAAAATATTTTATTTCGTTCTTTCCCTACAGGACTTTATTATATTTGCTTTCAACATCGTCCCAGGGTGAATAAATACGTAAATGTCTTGCTGTTAAAGCACATTTTCGTGCTTTATACTGAAATATTGTTTTGTTTTAGCTGACTTTCATATTTTTCTTCATTGTCAGAAAAAACTTTGTATGACATCCGGTCGGCCCTAATCATAGGAGATTTTTTTTCTTTCTGGCAGTCAGATGCTTTGTACACGATCTAACTAAGTTTATGAAATAAATATATTATTTAACGTTTATAGTTCTAGTAAAACAGGTCATGAGGCAAATCCTCTATTTTTTCTACGTTTTTGGCCATAAATGGGGAAAGAAAATATTAAAATTTCTCTCTCTCTCTCTCTCAGTTTTTTAAATTTTTTTTTATCGTTAACGGTAGATCAGTTTTCCCGTTATAGTTTACTTCACTGTTTTTCTTCCAGTTCAGTTTTTGTTAAATATGTATTTTCTTGGTTTTAACGAGGAAAAATTGAAAGAAAGAAAAAGAAAAGAAAAAAACTTCAAAAGCAAGAGATTGCTTGCAGCTGTGGCTAGAACTTCGATAATATTATTCTTCATATCATGAAAACATATGATATCGACATCAAAGATGCACTTTACGTTAATTTTTTTTAAATTACGTTAATTTTTTAATAAAGAATGCCCTATAGCTGCTTGGTTTAACAGATAAATTTGCCCGCGGTTAAACCTGTGTTTATTTTCCACTCCAGATGGCTAAAACTCTGAATGTTTGACAATCATTTTACTATAAATTCTGTGTCAATGTTAGTTAAATACACGAAACGCGAGGAAAGAAAATAATTTATTTGTAACTGGAAAATACTTGAAAGGCTGACAGCAGGGACTTTACTATTTACTTATTATGGAATACTGTTATTAAAAGCACAAACTTAAGTTAAAACTTTTAAAAGGTCTTTAAGGCGGTACTCAATTTGCTAGATCTTTATCTCAACCACTTGACTCTTTAAATTTTCGTTTCGTGTAGTTCACTGTAATGGTTTCAGTATGAACGTTCTTACCATTGAGTTGCCTAGCAGTGTTTGAATGCTGTCTGTTAAAGGTGTAAATTGAGGCTTGAAAGCCTAAGCTTAGGGCTCGACCCAAGCAGGTGCGGACGTTTTACACGACTGCTTAGCCCATCCATTTATWTTCTTTCCTTACTATCATTTAAATGCATTTTAAAGGAAAATTAAACTTAAAACTATACTCACAATTTTATCATCGAAAAATAAGAGGTTTCACGATTTTCGGTATGAATCAAATGAATCATTGTCTAGGCAACGCATGGCTTGGTGAAAAACTGCTTTTTTTAAGCTTATGAGTCAGCTGTTGGCTTCGGAAATAAAAGTCCTTAATTTATCTGAAATCTCTTTCCAATTCTATTGATAAACCATTTTTCACTCTATTGAGAATTCCATACAGTTAGCATGATTTGTGATATCAGGGTTAACGATTATCATGTCGCGAGACTCTCTCAGTCTACACTTCATTTTGAAGAATAAATTAATTATTTCGCTTAAGAAAAACCTTGGCCATCGAACCATAATATATATATATTCTTTTTTTGTGTTTTGAATTTTTCTTTTGTTTCTCCTTTTTAGTAGGAGTAATATGTAATATATACAAAATATTCTAACTTTTCATAAACTTTTTAATGGCTTCATTTACTTTATGTTATAAAATTGTAATGTATATATTGGACATCGTTGTTTTTTTTTGTTTTTTTTTCTTTTTTTTTTTTTACGAGATTCTTCCTAGAAAAAGACTTTTTTCCTTGTTGTCTTTTATCGAAAACTCATAATTTCAAGCGACTTATCTTATTTTAATTTTTTCTGCCCTTTCTTTTTACCATTTTAGAGAGAAGTTTTTATTTTTTGGGTTTGTTACTCTCACATAGCATTATGTATTATTCGAGTCAAAGTGATTCATGTATTTATCTTTTATTAAAGTCCAAGAAGATTGGGATAATGGCTTATCTTTCTTTCAGGCAATTTGGAACCAAGTGTGCACGTTGTGGTCGAAGCATCCATGCAAACGATTGGGTTCGTCGAGCGAAGAACTGCGTCTACCATCTCGCCTGTTTCGCCTGTGATAACTGTAAGCGTCAACTCTCCACTGGAGAAGAATTTGCTCTCAAAGATGACAACGTTCTGTGTAAGCTGCATTACCTCGAAAGCCTGGATGCCTCTCCAACAGAACGCGATTATCAAGAAGGTGAGTGGATTTTTATATTGAATCGCGGTCTGTCTGTTTGGCCGGTTTTGTAATTGCGAAAGTGTCGTCAAATTTGTCTGCTCGTGAACCGTTAAACTGTGAAACTCTTAACTGTTCTTGCGCCGGTCTTTGTGTCGACAGGCCAATATTCTTATTCCACTTCCGTTATCAGTGGGTTTGTGTTAACACCTCGTTTTGGCCTTTACAATTTTCATCAAAATTTGCTCTKTTATTACTCAGAGATTCATTACTTTTTCTTGGCGATCTTTCCACGCGTATGTATTAGTACATGTGCTGTAATAGAAAATAACAGCTATATTTGTTGGATTATAAAAGGATTTTGGTTGAAAAATAAGTAAGAGGAAAAAAAGTCCGCGCTGYGTGGAAGACTTAAGTTTTGAAAGCAATATTTGTTATGGTATTGTTTAACTTGAAGCTTGAAACCTGAATAATTTATGTTCTAACACTCTGTTTGGAGTCTCTATATTAAAGCGAGAGGACAAGAGAATTCATTAACACTTGACTTTCTTAGTATTGTAATGCGATATCAAAAGAGGAATTTAACACTGCCGGCATACGACACGAAACAGGAAAGTCATMGAGGTATACAGTCGTAACGAACTGGAAGTAAGGTCGAAGAGAATGAAATAAAATTTAAAACAAATGCTGATCTAGAACAAAAAAAATTAAGAAATTGAAAAAGAAAAGAAAAGAAAAAACTCCACTATTCTTKGAGTCAATAAAAGAAAAATACTCGACCACCCGAGATGCTTCAATTGGGAACCAAGACGTGGGTTTTATTTTGACCAAATGAAAAAGTAGAAAATGAAATAGAATTAGAACAAAAACTCAACGGGWAGTAAAATAATGAAAAGAAAAAAAAAATTCGGGAAAAAATTCTACTGTTATGAAAAGTAGTTSAGGAAAYGAATAATTTAGTRAGAAGTTTTTTTGAGTAACTGTAAAAGACTCGAAGAAAACTATAAAGTAAAAATATAGAACGAATATTCCTGCTTTTATGAAAACCGGTCGCGACGTAATGAAGTTTCTTCGACGGGATTATGRATTGTTTATCGAACTGAAAAAGACGTAGAAGAAAATGAAAATACCGTTAGTATTGGTTGTCAAGCAAAAGGGAAAAATATAAAATTATTTCAGTTCATGAAAACCAGTTTACAACACGAATCGCTTTCAGCTATAGAGGTYATTGAAGGGTATTCTTAGCCATTGAAGAAGACAAGCCAAGAAAATGAAATAAAATCACAAAAAAAAACTTCAACGGGAAGTAATCAATAAAAAGAGGAAAAAACAAATAGTCGTGCTTTTATGAAAACTAGTTGACGAAACGAAATACTTATACAGTCAAAGGTTCTTTGAACGGGATTATGGATTATTTGACTAAATGAAAAAGACGTTGAAGAAAAATAAGGTTTATAATTAAGCAAAATAASAAATAAAGACGTCGAAGTACATGAAAGAAAATGACACTAAAAAATCTCGTGTATTTTAGGGCGCAATATTGAAGGAATGAACTGAAAAACGCCTCGAAAACAATATAAAATAAAATTATCACAAATAATAAAATTGAAACCAATGAGTAAAGCAAAGTACAAGCGAAGAAAAAAATATTTGATATGCCAAAAACTGTGTTATTCGTAGAGATAACTAGCTAAAAACTAGTGTGAGCTGCGTCGGTGTTTCTAATGAAACAGTAATGATAAAAAGGTAAATTATACACCTTGAAAAGATGAAAAAAGTTACTGACGTTTCGGACGCTAGTACTTTTACTCCGACGAAGGACTAGCGTCCRAAACGTCATTAAGTTTTTTCATCTTTTCACGGTGTATAATTTACCTTTTTATYATTACTGTGTTATTCGTAATCACTCTGAGCGATTTTGGAATTTCGCATAATAAGAATTTTCAGAATTTGGAAAAAGGAAAAGAAAATKTTTTGAGTATCTCAATTCATGTATTTCTCAGTTTCAAATTACTCTTTTATTACATGACTAACAATGGGTGTCGATTACTCGCAATCTCGTATCCAGAGCCTGCGTTTGGCTTATGGTCTGCGGYGAAGAACGATAATCTATTTTTTTTAAACCAGAAATTCTTGAACTTCTGGTRTAAGAGCGCATGTGGGTTTAAAGCTTCGTACTGATTTTCTCTCAATGTTATATCTTTTTTTACCTATTGCTTTTAAAGCATTATTTATTTCGTAATGAAATCTCTCRATGTACGTCTTTGAACGCATGCGCTCTTATACCGGAAGTCCCAGAAATCCTGGTCTTAAATGTTATCTTCAGAAAAAAAATGATTCGATATCGATAACGTTGAAACATGTTGCACCCTTTGAAAGGCGAGTGAGATGTTTGCCCTTGATCAGTATAAATTTCGGATTTCACGGCACTGAATATCCGAGAGGCCATTTCGTAGAAGGAACTATAAGTTACATTCATCCGAATGCTTCTTTTCGCAAAARCTAGCCTGCTTTATGAAAATGGGAACCAAAAACCTTTTTTTAACCTTGCCTTTGCCGTGTTCGACTGAGATTTCCATTGTATCGTGTTCACCAATGATTTCCGGCGCTATGCAGTGCTATGCCGATTGATCTCAGCGTTTTCTCGATTCAGTATCATTACGGCACCGTGTTTCGAGCATTTTCCTTAAATCARCCTATAGCTCGCTTGCTGAGATTGGTTCAATCGATACCGTATTGTAAATGTGCCAATGTGCTGTGCCAT